TTATTAGGGGCTCATACAACTGTTATCCCAATCCATACAAACATCAATTGTGTAAAGCGCATTTGTACATCGTTTCTCAAAACATTTTCTCTCCATTTAAACCCCTGACATTAGGTCCTCATACGGATATGCATTTTATGTTGAAACGTTTTATCATGCATAAATGTGTATGTATGTGTGTGCTGAAGCACAATACTATTTCTTATTATGAGCCATTGTCAAGAACTTTTAAAGCTTTTTGCTGAGGCAATCTCATCCTTTCCCATGGCTTCAATTACCTTTTAAACCAAAGAAATGGCTCAAACCCACATGTCTTACTCTAAACATGTATCCATCTGATAGACATGTATCCATCTGCTGTCTAATAAACATTTCTGTTTGAACTTACTGTATATAGCCACTAGTTGACATCTCCCATCTTCCTTGACCCAATTCACTATCAGCTGTCACCAAGGCTATAAATATAAACATGGCTTCCTAAACTACCACAATTTTTGTTTCTCTTAATCTATTCTTAACACTAGAAGAAAATCATATTTTTAAAACACAAATTTAGTTATATATCCTCCCACTCTAACTCTGCAATAGTCCACTGCTGATCTTAATAAATGATGCAGTTTTTCACCACAGCCTGTAAGATTCTTTTCTCATTTTATACCATGCCTCTGATTCCTATACCTCCACTTCCAAATAGTCAGAGATCCTGATATTCACTAGACTTATTCCCTATCACAAAGTTTTTATAAATACTGCACATATACCTAGAACACACTTTCTTCTGAAGTACTAGTATCACTTCTCTGATCACATTAGCGAGATAAAACACTCCTATTTTAGGTTCTTATAAGAATATATACAAGCACATAAAAATTAGTTTTTCAGTATTTCATGAATAAATGATATGCAATTCCAACAGCCAGCCACTAGGAAGCACCACTGCTACATTTGTACTGGCTGGAATAATTATCAACATCACTGCCTAAAGGTGACTATTTTGATAAAACTTCTCTTTGTCTTTACTTAGGTAGCTATAGGGGATAGTTTGAGCTTCAAATAGTCAGACAGCAACATGTTAAAAAGCGGAGGGCAAGGATCTAAGGAACATCAAGGTCTATTCAAAAGCTGAGACAAGGATCTTTTCCTAGTGCCAACAGAGATAAGAGTACAAGCCTAACAAAGCCCTGAATACAGACATCTAGCCTCCAGAGCTGTAAGAGAATCAATACATTCCTGTTTTTTAAAGCCACCCATGTTGTGGCATTTTGTTATAGCAGCCTTGGAAACTCGGATGCTAACAAATGGCAAGAGTAAATTCCAGACTGATGCTACATCTGAAATCTAAGAAATAGTTTATCACCTTCTCTCCAATTTTCCCTTTCCTACAACTGGAGGATCAATTGTATCCCTCTTGTACTACAAATAAATGACATGGGTATTATTGAGCAACAGCCCTCTAGTTCAGCAAAAATCCATAAAATACGTAAAGTGCCTAGGATATTACAACAGGCCCCCACATCCATTTCTAAAAAATAATTTAATTTCACTAGCTGAGAAAGGGGGCTTTCAAAGAGCTCATGGAAAAATAGAATTGAAAAATCATAAAAATTCCCCAGTAACTTTTTGAAGCTATGCAGACAAATTCAATCCATTTCTACATGTCCAACTCAGTGATGTTGATCACATTCTTCCAGTTGTGTAACCAGTCTCCTCCACCTCTTCAGAGTTGTCCCTCCCCCATTATCAAACTAACTGCCCCCTAAGTTTCCAATGGTATCAATTTCATTTCTGTATGAATTTGATCTGATACTGATTTATCTTGAGCACAAATGTTCAAAGTATACATACTCTATCAGTTAAGCTAACTACAAAGAAGGCTTCAGGGATATTTTTGGTATAAGGTTTATACATTATCTCAAGGCAAGTTTCCAATTTTTCAGTAATGATAGTTATTGTTCAAGAAAACAATTAACCTCATATCCCATTTCCTTCTCTTATTCCAGGCTTTCATCTTTCTCAGTTGTTCCAGACAAATAAAGACCAGTGCTTTGGATGGCTGCTGGCAGCTTTTAAGACCCCAGACACTATGTCATGAAACAAAAGGTAGAATTCATAGGACTGCCCCTGTAAATTTCTGAGACTGTAATTGTTTATGAGTGTAGAAAGACCTTTCTCCTGAGGAGTGGCTACTGGCAACCCAGTGCTTAACCACTGCGCCACCAGGAGCTCCTTTGAGGTAGTACAGAAGCATTAAACAAGGTAACTAACTAGGATGTCTCATGAAACCAGACAGATGTATCCATCCCTAAGTCTCTAAACCAAGAAACCAAATTCCATGAGATATTTAGCTAGACATCTTTATTTTGTTATGTCATTGTTGTAAACATCACACAACTTTTGCCAATTCAAACTTTTTACAAGTGTACAACTTATTTAAGATAGCAATTGCCTTAACTGGTTGTGCAACTTAATCAGTTTACTCTCCCATTACCTTTAACTCCTCTTCCTGCCCATGCCCCTCATTCCTACTGCTGGTAACCAGTCACATACTTTGGTCTCTGTACATTTGCTGGGTTGTTTTTTTTCAAATGCGGTAATGTAGTATTTGTCCTTTTGTAATCGACTTTTTTCACCCAGGAAAATATCTTGAAGTTCCATCCATATTGTAGCAACTATTAGGTCTTCATTTCTTTCTGGCTGAGTAGTAATATATTTATGTACTACATTTTATTTATCCACTGAAGGGCATTTAGGTTGTTTCTACCATTTAGCTAGTGTAATTATGCTGCAATGACTATTGGTGTATAAATAAATATCTGAGTGTCTGCTTTCTGGTCATTCAGGTATACTCCTAAGATAGAAGTGCTGGGTCACGTGGTAATTCTATGTTTAACTTTTTAAGGAACCGCCACACTGTTTACCGTAACAGCTGTGCCATTTTACATTCCTACCAGAAATGGATAAGGGTTCTAATTTCCTCGCATCTTTGCCAACATTTGTGATTTTGAGTTTTTATCTTAGCCATCCTCCCTTTGCTGTCGAGTTGATTTTGACTCACAGTGACCACAGAATTGCCTCATATAGTTTTCAAGGCTGTAATCTTTATGAAAGTAAACTGCCACATTTTTCTCACTCAACTTAATTTCTGTTCTTCAAATACACCAGGTCCTTTCCTACCTGTATTAAGATTCTTGGCTTGCAAGAAATCTCAAGTTAACTTAAGAATGTACCCTCAAAGAAAATCAAGTAGTTCACAGAAGAGGCATGAAGCTAGAGAACCAGGCACAGAACAAGACAGTCTGAAGCAACCAGGCAGGAAAATCCAACGGTATTATTGGGACACTGCCTCAGGATTCCACACTGTCACTAAGTTGATTTCCAACTACTTGTTTTTCATTTTGTTACCCACCTTGGAAACTCAGGTGCTAACAAATGGCAAGAGTAAATTCCAGACTGATGCTACCTTCGAATTGATGCCAATTCGAATTGGCCTTTGAATTGATGCCAACTCATCCCAACTCTAGAGAACAGAATAGAACTGCTTCTTAGAGTTGCTGAGACCACAGCTCTTTAGAGGAGCAGATAAGCACACCTTTCTCCCATGAAGAGATGGTGGGACCTTTCACTTTAACAGCTCAACATTAACCCATTGTGCCACCAGAGCTCCTTATTCAGTCATAGGATAGAGGCTGACTGTGTGTCGTATGTCTACTCTTTTTCTATGTTTTACATAGGAATATATTAGATTGAAATGTCCAAAGGAAAACTGAACAGAGTAAATCCAGTTTCCCATAAAGAAATCGGGAAGTTATATGAGAATATATGCTGAACAAGTCCCTAAACGATCCAGTGTCCACTAACTGCCTGGAGGCTTTCTTACACGATAAAAGCTTTTTTGTACCAGAAACCCTAGTGGCAAAGAGGTTACGCACCGGACTGCTAATCCAAGGTCAGTAGTTTGAAAAGACTAGCCGCTCTATAGGAAAAAGATAGATAGGGCTTTTTACTCTAGTGAAGAGTTACAGTCTCAGAAACGGGCAGTTCTACCCTGTCCTACAGGTATCGACTTGATGGCAATGAGTCTGAGTTTTGGATGGCTCTCTGCTTTGACTGCTGTATTCCCTGGCTCCCTTTCCTTCCTCCTTCAAGAAGGATCACTATCTAAAGCAGTCCTTCCTTGCCCTTTCACTGACACCATTTACTCACCTATCACTTTGCTTACTTCCTTTACGACACTTTTTAGAATGGTTTTCTCATGATTCCTTATTCACTGTCTTTATCTTACACACAAAGGAAGAGTGACTCCACAAAGACTGAGACTTATGTTCACTGGATCATCAAAGATACACAGATTCGAGAAGCAAGCAATAGTACAGGGAAGTACAATGATCCTTTTTAAATGCAAATCAGCTTAGGTTACTAGTTAACTAGTTAACCAACTGCTCTCACACTAGAATGCAAACCTGTACCATGATGTGGCCCTATTTAACTCAACAACTGTAGCTATATTGGCTTCCACACCAAGCAAGTTCTTACCCACTTCAGGATACATGTCTGGAATATTCTTCCATGAGATCTTCACGTAACTAGCTCCTTCTAAGCCTTTAAATTTCAAAATAAAAGACCATTTCCTAAGAAAAGCATTATCTAAAATAGCACTTCCTTTCTTATTACAGCACCCTGTTTATTGCTTTCAAAGTATTTCCTAACCCGCAATTATTTCAGATATAAGCTTACTTCTTGATTGTCTTGTCCCCCCACACCTCAACTACAACATCTTTCCCCATTGAGATCAGAGTGTGTATCTCCAGGGCCTAACAAATGTCTGACGCAAAATCAAACACTCAAGTGTTTATTGAAGGAAAGATGGAGAGAAGGAATACACTGGCCCTATGTAAGTGCAATTTTCTCTAGCACAACAAAGGCAAGATATTTCTATACTTAAATTCTCCATTCTTTCTTCCCAAACCACAGGGGCTAGGAAATACATTCTTTTACTTTGCCATGGGCAATTTACTTTACTAGCTAAACAAAAATAAAGTTCTGAAGGTTCTTAGAGGAAATATGACAGCTAAAGAAGGGAAAGACATTGAAAAATAGTGTTATGGGTAACATCAAGCCCATACATATACTTGCCTAAGTGTAGATGGGAGTTAACAAACATTGAACAACACTCATGGTCAAAGAGCAACTGACACTGACATACATAGGTTAACCACTTCCCAATACAGTTTTAGTACATTCAGTATATGAGGGCGTCAAAAAGCTTATGGAAAATTCTATTTTCCCCCTCTATTTTAACAAAACTTTTGAAGTCCTATCATAAGAGCATCTTATCTGTACCCTATCATGTGTCACCTAAGTATTCGGCACTCAGTCCTCTCTCATTTTACCATTTTTCATTATAATGAATCCATTGGGATTTCACTAAGCATTAAGTGATTCTTACCAAGTGCTCTTGCTACTGCCAAAAAAGGGATTTGGTCAATTACTGTGCTCCTTCGTACAGGCCCATTGTGAGTGAGTCGAGGTCGTTTCCAAACTACACGATTCACTCCAGACTTGTTCATCACACTAAAAAATAAAAGAGTTCATATAAGTATTCGATTAAAATGTAACAACTAAGCTGGCCCAATATGTTAAATTAACTAGTAATAAGAACATATTATGAGATAATGACTTATCTGCTTCAGATAAAAAAAATAACAAAATTACTGTTCAGAGAAGTTAAAGTTCATTACAAAACTCAAAATTATACTAGCAACCAAACTCATTGATCTGACAGAGGCTAGTGGAACCCCCAAGATTATGGTCCTTAGGCCCCTTCAGGTCCGAACTGAACTCACCCCTATAGCTGAATTTTCAATGAAACAAGACACGTCTGTATGGGGAACAGTAACACTAGTGAGTGACATACACCCTAGAATAATAAACCATTTGATATTAAAAGGGTAGCTTTTAGCCAATCATAAAGTTCAGAAGGGTTAGGAAAGAAGCAGGAGTAGAAATAGGAAACAGTGTGGAAGTGAAATAAGTGATGTTACACTGTCGGGATTGAGATCAATGAAATAAAACAAAATACGAGGGAGTGCACCCCTCCAGCTCCCCCCACCAAAAAAAAGCTCCACTGATGTGAGGGTGATAGCACATTTGGAGTTCGCTGATGGAAGGGTGACAGTGCATTTGCAAGTCAGACTGTTAATCAAGCTTTCAATTTAGAGGTTCTGAAAAGATTGCGCTAACAGTTGTGTGTGACAAAAAGGCCTGATTTGTGGCTGCTTGGGGACGAGTTTTGCCACCATGACAATGTACCTGCCCGTGCAGCCATCTCAGTGCTCCGTGAAACTTATTTTTGTTTCTACACATGAAGAGGGACATGAAAGGACAGCTATTT